GGTGACGTGATAACGCCGGATTTTTTGTCTTCCTTGGCACTGTAAAATACGGGACGTTGGTTCTTCCGATCTCTTGAGCCGTAACAGTTTTGACAGAATACCTTTAGCTTAGGGGGGGGCATGATAAAGAACAAAGCTAAGTTCCAAGCAGAGGATGAGTTTTTTCATGCTAAGGAAGTAAAATTATGCTTCTTTTCGGAAACATGTTCTGGATAAATGAAGTTGTGCGGGAATTCTCTAAACTATTATCCAATCACGAAAGACTAAGGGTTGACCCTGAAACTTCGATGGTGTCAACCGCGTGAACCGCGTGAAACGCGCAATACCATAGATCCGGTTTGTGTGACGTACTAGTCAATATTCTACAGTGAAAAGGTACACTATTTTCATTTGATACATTCTTACATATTGGCATATTCAGAATCCTCATGAAAAATTGGACTACATAGTGGTACTCAAAAATTCTAATGGTAGTATTTTTGACAATGTTGGAACTGCTTAAAGGTTGGATAGTAGTTTTAGTACTAGTATTATGCAATAAAAATGAAGTTGCATTGTCAAAAAATCCTGGGGTGACATTTTCCAATTTCGGACACACATGGAATAATGAAATACTTCGTAATGAAATTCTGATCCTGAACGAGAAAAAAAAACTGTCGCGCACCCCTCTAAATTATGACCCCTGCCGTACCGTACCGTACGGTACGGTAAGTTCGATCCCTACCTGGGTCGTTTCAACGTGGATCAAAAGAATTTGGAAGCGACGAAAATTGTACAGTACGAACCGTACGGCATCGGCAACGAAGGAAAATGGGTCAATTACAGTAACGTTATTTTACTTTACGGTACGGGTAGGGTACGTACGTACCATTCCTTTGAATCTTCGTTCCTTTTCTTCTCAGTACACAGTACCGTACGATACGTACTCGTAGTACAGTCTCCCAACATAGCACATGGCATGGATCTTCCTGGATTTTCTTCCTAGAAAACTACCGTAGCGTCCCGTTAGTTATGTACCAAAAAATAGTCGGAACGCAACGTGCCCAGCTGCTTCGAAATCGTGTGCAAGTCCGAGTACGAGTACGTCGTATGGTCAACATCGGTGTACCGGCCGTTACGATACCGCACGTACCCAAGTACTATCATTAGTACGAAGTAAAGTAAAAAGTACGAGTAACGAACGGTATTTCCGATGATATCTCTCAGCACCTCCCCATCTCCTCGTTCCCGTACCTCCGCACGGTAGAAAGCGTGTTAACTGTCACAATCTCTAGATACTTTTCTCTTACCCAAACTATCGCTAATAGTACTGCAATCCAGCTGCACGTTGCCCAACCATGTCCGAAGCAAATGCCGCCGAAACCAAGAAAGCTCCAGAGCCCGTAGCCCCTGCCCCTGCTCCTGTTGTCAACACGCCAGCTCCGGCTCCTGCTGTCAACACGCCGGCTCCTGCTCCTGCTGTCAACACGCCGGCTCCTGCTCCCGCTGTCAACGCACCAGCTCCCGAGAAACCGGCGGACGACGCCCCCGCACCTGATGGAAAACCAGCGGAAGATGCTCCCGCTGCCGACAAACCCGTCGAGGACGCTGCCCCCGTTTCTGACATCAAGGTGGGAAGTCGCGTTGCCAAGAAGTTCAAGAAGAGAAATTACTATGGCGAAATAACCGAAAAGTGGACGGATGATGCCGCAAAGGCTCCAAGATGGCATGTCAAGTACGACGATGGTGACGAGGAGGATCTCAACGAGAAGGAACTCGCCCGTGCCGCCAGGCTTTATGAGAAAGTAAAGAAAAACGACCAAAAGATCAACCCTCGCAAGCCACGCAGTACACCAACTAAACGCAAAAGCTTTGATGGAAAACCTCCCCCTCGATCAAACAAGTATCCGAAGAGAAAGAGCACTGGAAAATAGGAGTTATCCTGTGTCATATCGTATTCAATCGAAGCGATTCTATTCTTACAAGTGTTGGCAGAAGAGAACGCAGTGCAGGAATTTAGTGTTTTGAGCAAGGGGAAGAAAGTGGAATCGTACTTACAGAGTAGTTTGATGGTGTGACTGATTTGGTCGCATTTTGGGATTCAACCCAACGATCGAGAATTTTTGCCGGGTAGAAATTTTAGTTGCAGGTGATGGGAGATACCGCTCTCAGCTAGTATTGTAATGTCTGCAAGGTAGTGCCAACAGTCAACCCAGAATGTAAATACGAGTTGGTGAAAGGAATAAACTCCTACAGTAGGTACGTACGCAATGGGAAACGATAATTTAGTAGTTTGCAATATCAAATAATAATACCGATTATGTGTTGAGCCAAGAACAATCAAAGTAGTAGTCTCTGCGGCGGAAAGGGTTTACTAATAAAAAAACTACCGTTGAAGGGGCTTTGAATCAAAATTGCACTCCTCTACGATGACTGAATATGATAGAAACTTGCAGCGAGTTGATTGATGCAGGACAAGCCAAGAACGCGAAGACATGCATAGACTAATGGCCCAGAATTCATCAAAACATATCAAACACTGTGCTGAAGGATGGTACCTTTGCACTGCCAACAATTGGAGCAAAAATGAAACAAAAACAAAACAGCAGCATAAAAAACAGAACAAAAGAAAGAGGAAGCAAAGAGTGGTTCTCATGGTAGAGCTAAGCCTGATTTGCACCACCAGCATTCATGGCAGAACATTTCCCCCTGTGTTGTTTGGGAGTGTTGGCAGGGAAGGAAAAACCATAAGTCCTTCTCCCATTCCAATAGTGTTAGATCTTTGGTTTTCAGCAGTGAAAATAGTGTACCTTCCAATAGACAAATCCATATCTCATTTAGATTTCAACTTGGAAACCAGTGGGTAACATTATGTCTCAATTATTTGTGCAATCGATGCCCATCAAGTTAGTGAGAAGACAAGGAGGAACAAGCACCAAAGAACAAGAAACACAGAGGGCCAGCAATGATGATGCTACATTTTAATACCTCCTCCTTTTGTGGAGGAGCCACTGCTGCTTGTTGTAGAGTGGTACCACATGGACCTCAATTGATGAATAAGATGGGTTGTTCATTGATCCCTCCCTCCTATAAGTTCAAGTGCCTGCAAAAACTTGCTGTCTCTTTGAAAGAGGTCTGCTGTCCATGAAGCTGCACCATTCTATTTCTTCTTCCAGTTGTTGTGCTTGATGCCATTTGGTGGTAGAAGGATTGCCTGTTGTAAAGTAGGACAATCTCTTCTCGTACTAGTAGTAGTAGGCAAGGAATGAAGGGCCTTGTACAGTAGGATCAGCATCAATGTTTGGATCTTCTAGTCAGTACACTTTCTTTGTGAAGAAACTGTAGAAATGTTTCTTGTCTGGTCTTACGTAGAGCTCACCAGCTCTTCACAAGGAGTGAAAAGAGTTTCTTGGGGAATCATATGTCGACTCCATTAGTAGTAGTAGTATTACTACTAATATCCACTTGCTTTTCTATTGTGTACTGCAAAATCTATGACTTCTAGTATCAATGAATGGTACTGGTGGTGGCACCATTGCTGATGATTTGTCACTACTCTTGGTGGGTTTGGTGCCCTCACCTCCTGTCATTTGCGAGCCTTACACCTTGCTCCTCCTCCTCTTGCCGGTTTGACTCTTGTCATGGTGCTTGGTGTTGCTTGGTCATGTTTGCTCCTTGGTTGCTTTATTTGCTTTTTAATAGGTGATTCATTGCTTGTGTACTAAACAATAAGGAGCTGAATAACACAAAGGAAAATCTGAGTCTCAACACTTCACTGTAGGAGTGAATATTTTAAGTGTGCTGGCAGTTGCAAAACTGGTTGCACTCAAAAGCAAATACAGCAGTTTCTTGCAACTATGTACTTCCTCCTCCCTCTGAACCTTTATGGTTGAAATAAGCTCAATATTGGTTAATTTAGAATGTTTGTTTTTCCAATTGATAGATCCACCATTATGGAAGTATTAAAGAAGCTGTAGTATATATCACATTAAGTGTTGGGGTATTATTACATGAGCTGGCATACTAAGCATGGTGTGATTTTCCCACCAAGTGGGTTCTACCCATCATTTTGAATTGCCACTACTTGCACATGATAGCCAAGATTGAAGAATTTTTGAGGCATGTAATTCTTATTAGTATTGGAAACTTTCTTCTAGCAGTCATTCTTGTTCGAAGGAGGTGCACTGGTCCATTATCAATATTTTTTTTTCGTTGTTGTAGTACTAGAACATATGTTTGTGAACAGAGGAAATACCACAGCAGAGATGCTAATGCAGCTCGACAGTAGAAATATGAACTAAAATGCACATAAAAACTTAGATGTGGTCTATGGGGTGGGACTAATAAGCATGCATACTCAAATAGGTGGTTCACAATAGAAATTTCTAAGTCAGAGAAATTGGTTCTCACAAAAAGTGTTTGCAACCAGGAGTAGCAACCTGTCCTGATCATTTTTTCAAAAAACAAGCACACCATTTTTCTTATGTCTCATACCTCACACTTACCTCAGTTTTGGTTGCATTTTACACATCTTGTATTTGCGAGGGTTGCTTTGGGTTGTTAGGGGAAACCAGTTTACCTTTGTCAGCCTTCCAACCCCAGCGCAAATCAACAAGGATTAATCAACAAGGATTACCAACCACCCTCCCACCAGTGATGATCACAATTATTTTTTATCCCATTTTTGCAACAGTTGCCAGACTGGGATACTACCAGTTCAAAGAATACTGCACGAGATTACGTGTACTCTTAGTAGTAGGTGTTAAGTGTGTATGAAAATTGAAATTATAAGATTAGAATTATTCGAAGAKTRCYAAGCGCGTTCACGAGAATTCCGAAGTTCCGATTGGAACCTCATGTAGACCTGGTAGGGATTCTACATGGAGGTTCTCTGTTCCGGACTCGTGACATCTCTATTCTTCGTGAGGTATTCTCGAATRGTATCTTAGACCTCTTACGATCATCAACATGATGGATCGTATGATCTATACATAAGAATAGTATATTATGATATGTAGGTAGGAATGGTATATCCATCCATTCAGAGGKAGCATCGTATCGTACTACGTATGCTTCCTTTCCAGTACGTACGTATCCTTTCAATACAGTACGTACGTATCCGTTGCAAATACTAATATGTGTTATCCGTAGAATCCTACCAGGTCCTACAGAGCTCAATGTCATTGTACTCAAACATCTAAAACTGTTGATTATAGAATTTCACTTACTAATTTGAACCCAATCATTTATCACCAGATCCTACATAGGCAGGTCTACAGTCAAATAGTCCTTTAAACCAACAGAAACCTCACCAGTGCTATAGGAAAATTAGAAATCCTTCAGAAAGGCCTCTAATGACCTCCCCTTTGTGGATCTGTTAGGAAGAGTGCCCTGTGTCATTGTTACATGATTATAGGCCTAGGGACAACTGGCAGCCTAGTATGAATAGTAGTACTAGAGTGTATGATGGCAACCATCTTTTGCTACTACTACTGCTGTAGTAGTTTGGTGGTTCTTTGAAAACAGGCTAGTAGAACTTCATCAAAAAACAACTCTTGACCACTGGCTGTTGGTCTAAGGGCCCATTCCAAGTTGATATACTAATGATAAGTTCAAGATTAGTGTCATTTGGAAGCCACTGGATGCCCTAGTAGGCTAGTAGCAGCTTGGACTAGAATTAGTAGTCTGCCAAAGAAGTTGCACTACTAGTACAAGTACTAGTAGTAGTAGTGGGTGGCCAAAATTTGCTTATTGATTTTAAACTGGTAGTACTCCCAAACTAGAAATATGTTGTAACCAATTGTAGGGTCTAGTAGGATTATGTAGTAGTGGTACTGACCATAAAATAACATTGAATTAATGCACAGTACTACATGAACCCTGTAGGCCTGCCTCAAAATGAATACTGCTTTTTTGCTTTAATTTAGCATAAATTAACATCCAAAATATTAGTCATTCTTCCTCTTTTTAGATCCCTTCTTCTTTTTTTAAGTTATGTGCAAGACCCAGATAATTGTTTTTGGAAGGTAGCGCTACCACATTGAAGAATGGGGATACTAGAATCTACTAGAAGGTTCTACGGTGATTTAGTAAGATTCTTCATGTTAAATTAACATTTGGTAGGGAGGGATTTGTTGGCATCTTTCTCCGTCTTAGCATCATTTCCCTTGGAAGTAAACTGTTCAATCAAAGCAACACCCTTCCTATTATTCAGTGTTTTTGCATCCTTCTTGAGTGCCTCAAGGTGTTTAATTGCATCCAATTGATTGGTTCTTTCCTTCACAACAAACCAGTCCTTGAACACTTAACCCCTGCAATTGCATCTTGGAGTGCTCTGGTATTTGGTTCCATCACTTGTTGCACCAACTGCAAACTCTTCTAGTACAGTGCATAATTACAAAAACCTTGCCATTGAAACCAGTATCATTCAAGACTTTCATTGCTGCAGTATTTTGTTTCTTTGGACCTGCGGTCAAATCAATCAATCCATCTGACAAAACTATTAGTTCATGCTGCACCTATTTGTCCCGGAGGCATTTTTGTGTGAACAATGCAATCCCAATGGTGCTCCATACTTCTTTGCATTGCTCAATTTAAAAACTGTTGTCAAATGTGTGTTCCAATACTGCATTCTCATCATAGCCAACAGGCTTTCCAAACACTAAAAGCAGATAATCAGATTGCTGAAGATTGTCATTTTGCATGCAGCAAGCAATGGAGTGCAAGTTTTTCCGGGTTCCATTTTTTACAGAGGAGATTTGAAGTAACCATAATTACTCTCAGTAGACTGCATCACATGGGTTGCATTGGGAACCCAGCATGGATGCAGGAGGAACCCATGAGCTGCAAGACTTGCCAACAGAGGAGCTTTGTTGTTTTGTCCCAAGCAAATGTCAACAATGGTAAATTTGATGCAGCTGGATAGAGCTGAACAATTGCATACAAGATGATGTACTTTTCAAACTCTTCACCATCCATTCCTGCATTCACATTGCAATTAACTGTAGCTCCATTGCTTGTGATACAATATCCACCATAGTATACTCCTTTTGTGTTTTGAACACCATTGACAAACAACTGGTACTGGATCCACTTCTTCTCTTCTTCCATTGCATTTGATTTGTGTTGTAAATGCAGAGGCAATGGGAAAGCAACAGCATTGCTGCCTGCAACCAAAGTGATTCTTGAGCTACTTTTATTTGGTCTGTCTGCACCACATCCAATGACATCATCTGTCAATCCATAAGCTACTATAGAAGGCTGTCCTCCAGCCTGGTTTCCATTGCCATTGAATGTTAGGCCTAACTCGTCCAAATTGATGATGTGGTTAAGTTGACCAGGGACAAAGCTCACCTTCTTGGATTTCATCCTCTATCTTCATTCTTGTAGTAAAGCCTTTTGCAACAACAAGTTCTTCATTCAGTTTCTTGCTAAAACACATGAATCTTTTCCATTTCTCCACAAGCCCAAGTGATGAAAGATGATATGGTGTCTCCCAGTGCAACTATAATACATTACAGAAGCAAACTTTTATGTCCCTTTCCTGGGGCTCTGAGGTTGTCCTTAAATGTCATTTTACGACTATGATGTTTGCCTTCAGTGATGTATTGCACAACAAATTACTAATTTGAGATACAATAGTACTGACAACAGATGACTGGCAATTTTGTGGCAAATTTTCTTGTTTGTACTTGACTTTCTTTGCAATAGCATTGTACTATGCATCATCATGAGCACATTTTTGCAAGAATTTGTTCATCATCTTGATATGAGCTTGTTTAGGACGAGTATCTGGCCTCTGTTTTGGAAGGTTTGGTACAAGAGATCCCTCCTTCAGACTGCTGTCATCCTTGCTCTTTGCTGATACCACTGCTGCAACTGTTGGATTGGTGTTTTTAGTGAGAACTGATATTTTTGCTTCCAACTCCTCCAACTTCAGACCTGATAGGTTAGCAATTTTTTCAAAGTTGATTAGCGCCACTTCCTTCAAGGAGGCCAAAGCTGATAATTCTGGTTGCTTCTTTGAGGACAAAAAACACTCAAGATAATTAGGAGGACCCTTCACCATCCTTTCCACGAACCTTTGTACTCTTCTTTGCAACACTTTGTTGTTTGCCGTATCTTCAGTGAACTGAGCAATAACATTGCTCTCTTCACAGAACACTGGAGGCCTCTGGTGGACCTTGAACCAAACAAGTCCTCCTCAGCAGCAGCCAGTGTTGTTCTTTCATGCACTGCAATCATGTGTCCATTTTGGATAGATCCAACTGCAACTGTCTCCCTTACTGTTGATGGCACCAGCTTTTTCTTCATTGTTGTTGTTGTTGTTGTTGTTGTTGTTGTTGTTGTTGTTGTTTGGTGTGTTTGAGTACTCCTAGAGCTAAAAGCTTCTACAGCACTAGTAGTAGGTTGATCAATCTCCAACTTCAAGCTCCACTTCCCCTGATGTAAGGAATAGAATACTTGTCTTGTGAGTGCAATTGGTTGATTATTGATGAAGAAACTGGAGAAGTGACAGCTTGCTATGTTGGGGTTGTTGATTATTACTAGTATTCTTCTTAGTAGTACTACTAGTACTAGTACTAGTACTAGCTAGTACTACTAAAGAATGAGGAGAGTTTTTTCTAATTTTGGTACTGAGAGAAATCAACAACAAGTCAGAAAAGGTTCTCTGGTAAAAAGAAACCAACAATATACTACACAGGATAAAAAAAATCCTTTCTGACTTATGGATTCTTAAACTCTGATTGGTCCTCTGCTAGCAGCAACAAGAAAGCAAAGATAGCTAAAAACTGGTGCGTTTTATTGTACTCATAACCTGTTAGAAATGAATAGTCTTATTTCGCACCCAAACTGGTCGTATTGTAATTTGTAGATTGGCGCAAAGAAGAATCACGATCGGAGTCATAAAATTAAAGAGTGAGGCCTATTTCTCGGCATATTCAGGAAGACTGTAGGCAATAACAACGTAACAATGATAATTTAAAAAACAATTTTGTATTTTTTATCACAAATTGCTGTCGGCGATTTGAAGCAAAAATTTACCACGACCTCATTAATGGTGTCGCATTTGTTATTATCACCTCGCTCAGCTCTGTCCTTTCGATAAATAGAAGATAATCTTGATCAATCGATTCAGAAATCTAAGAGGTTATCATTAAAAGCTGTATTTCGAACTGAACGACAAATGGTTGATACGATTACTGCTGTGAAAAGAGAGCTTCCAGTCGATGAGACGAGCCATGGAGAAAGTTGATAATTCAGCTTCTAATTGTGATGATGTGCAATGCCTCGTGACCTTTGAATCGGTAGTAGGTTATCTTAAGTATGATAATACGCGGTTTATAATAAATAGGAAGGTTATTGAATGGATATTTGCGATTTCATCTTACAGCTAAGGCAGATTTCGCTTTCTACCGTGAATCAATAGCTGCGCTTTTTTTGTTTCGATCTTTTTTGAGGGATTTCCTACGTCAAAACTAACATAGAAATACTACGCTTTGTTCAAAAGATTGTACTAAGATCCTACAGCTAGCGAAAGAACGACGACTCACTTCCCCATGTCACTCACGTCGACACGGAATGTACATTTCGGAGAAAGGGGACCTTTTCGATTTACTTATCATGAAGACGACAATAAAGCGATCACTTCAAATAGAACTCAAATTCATAGAATCGGATCATTCTCGTTTTATTTCGAGCTGTTCATCCAAAAGTTATTTTAAAATCAGTATTGAAATCTTGGAATAAATCTTTAACTGCGTCGCGTGTTTTATCATAAATAATCCAAGCATTTTAAATGTATAGCACAGAGTGCTCCAAGATCCCAGCCGCTTAAAAAAATCAGATGATGACGATTTATCCCCGGAGAAAAAGTTTACTCTTCCATCCAGGTCGATTCCTCTGGCGTGACAAATCATTTTAAAGATTGCTAGAGCTAAATGTAGGTGTATTTATCTTAATATTTATCTCATCCAACATTCGAAATTCACTAGAATACAAACGTTTCTTTTTGATCTTGCTCATTCGAACGCGATGGCGTTTACGCTTATCTTAAATCTTATGTAAGTTTTGGACGTTTAGTTAAGTCTTGTTGTGGCGGTTTACCGGACCTACTGGACGGTATATGAATGATTCTGTCCGTTTTGATCACATTCGACTTCAGAAGAAGTTTCCTTTGGTCATCTGAAGTGGCATTGGATTTACATATATCGAACTATCTCGTAATGTTTGAAAATGCAGTTTACGAGGAACGTTCCTTGGGTCGCTGAAAAAGTGAGTGAACTTTCTTTGGAGATGGAAATTCAAATGCTATTCTGAAATTAAAAATATCAATAATCATCCATCCGTTGAGGCATATATATCTCACAAACTTATCACGAGATTTTGAAAACCGTTGATTATTTATTACGAAGTACAGTACAGTACTTCGTACTTTGTACTTCGTGAAGGTAATGCTTAGTGGAGCTACGGAACATTAAAGTGGAGTAGTAATTGCACATCACTGCGATCTGCTTGCGAGCATTTTTTCCCTCAATCGAACATTCAGGTACACGGGGTAGAACTCCCATCGGAACGACAACAGTCTAAGCTCACATTTGATATTCCCTGTCAGGCACCATCGATTGCATCCTAACTTACAACTAATTGACAACAAAAAATACCCGCGATCCGAGTCCTTGAGTTGTCGTTGATTCTTGTGCACTCAAGTTAAAAGATTGCAAGAGCGAGGACTAGCGACAAATTTTCGAACTCCGAACTGCTACTGCATCATCGACGAAGGGAAGTAAGAAGACAATGAACGTATCTCCATCTAGTCAGGAAACTTCAATTAAACCTTTCTCAGAAAGCCTAGGTTCGGGTGAAGTATTGCATCGCATGCAAGGGAACCTGCCTTTCAGTAATACGAAGCCTAGATTGGACATCGATATGAAGATCGGGAAACCTGGAGGCGTTTCCATCGATGGCGTCACGACAAAAATAGACGAAGAGGTCACCAAGAGTGATCTTGTCCTTCCATCAGAGGGTTTGAAACAGCTAGTGACTGTTGCGACTGCCGAAAAAGAGGCTCACGATAGTTTCTATGCTGATTCGAACCCCAGAGGTGATTCCAGAGAAGATACGGGAAGAGGTTCAACTGGTGACGAGAAAAGAGAAACTGAATGTCAATTGAGTGGCACGGCTTCTGCCCAAATGACTGAAGACATCTCCACTGAAATTGGTGCTGATAATGATGATGATAAAGAGATGAAAAACACAGATGAGAAAGCAAGTAGTTATGTCGATGCGGCTGAAAAGATTATCGACGAACCCAAGACCGAGGAAGCTAAGTCAGAACAACCGAAGCTAGAAGAGGGAACAAAGGATGAACTAAAGGAAGAACAGCCGAAAAAGAAACCTCGTAAAAGGTGGAAAAAACCAGCAGATAAACCGCCTCGTCCATTGTCTGCGTATAATCTCTTCTTCAAAAGGGAACGTAGTATCATGCTTGGTGATGCTGCAGAAAAGGACGACCAAGAACAAGGAAAGAAACGCGTCCACAGAAAGACTCACGGGAAGATCGGATTCGCTGAGATGGCTAGAATCATCGGTGCAAAATGGAAGAAGCTTCCGGATGAAGATAAGGAAGAATTCATGGTTGTTGCTAAAGCGGAAAAAGAGAAATACGCAGAACTTCTCGCCAATTGGAGGGAAGAAAAGAAGAAGCAAAGCATCGCCAATAGTGTGGAAGCAGGAAAGAAAAGGAAGGACCTCGATGATGACACAGATGAACTAATAAAGACTATTAACGAAGATCGCGAGCAACTTTTGAAGAGGCATAGTGCGTTTCGGATGCAGATGAAGATGTACGAAGAAATGGCACTCAGTCGTTTGGGCCGAGAAGGACGACCGATGCCGTCACTAGACTACATGCGAAATATGCCCGATGATCGACCATATTTCGGTGAAAGAGGCCAATATCCGAACGCTGCTGAAGATTCGGGGAGGAATATTCTCCAACATATGCTATCACTCTCAGGTCACGAGGGACCGGGACCAATGTCTCGAATGTCTGATGGCCCTATGGGTTCTTCAATGGGCAACACGATGGGGTCAATGGGTAGCAACATGAGGGGATCAATGGGCAGCTCTGGAAACCAAATAAACAAACCGATTGGAAACTCAATGGGCAACCAGCACCAAACGGGGCACCCAATGGGGCATCCGATGGGGCATCCGATGGGGCATCCAATGGGGCATCCGATGGGGCATCCAATGGGGCATCCAATGGGGCATCCGATGGGCGGCCACAGTATGAACGGCCCAATGAGTAACTCAATGGGCAACAATATGAATAACTCAGCACACAACAGTGGTATGAATAACCCGATGGGCGGTGGCATGGTTCCCATGGGGAATGGCGGTTCACAAATGTCACCTTCAACGCATCAGCCGCCATATGAAGTGGAGCGATATCACAATATGCGCATGCATGGTCCAATGACAGGGATGAACAGCCATCAAATGTCTCCCGGTCGCCATTCGCCAACGCGGAACGGTGGCATGCATGGGCCACCTGATATGCCACCTAATGACGGATATGGTCACGACAATATGAATGGAGCGATGATGAGAAGATACCATGAACACAGTCGTTATCATCACAGTGGGAACATGTAACAATATTGATGGTATCGGGCGCATACTTCGGTTCGCCATGGTAAAGATTTTTTTCGGGGTTCCTTTGGAAGGAAGTGGCATGTTATCATATTGGAGTGAATATCATCGCTAAATGGGTAGCGGTAAACAAGTAGAAGTAGATTGCAATATGTCAAAGTATAGGCACTCAAATAGATTGCAATCATTAAATTTTATTTGTATCTTGTATGTAAAGGATTGATGGAATATCTGTTGCGCAGCATATATCACTCCAGAAGGATAACTATTTTACTTATTTCCTCCCCAGGCCCATCTTCTTCGCCTCTTCAGCAGAAAATACTTCAACTGTTGTTTCCGTCGTTTTTTTCCAGTCTGGTGTTGTTGTATATTTTGTGGTTGTTCTTTTCAGGTTTCCGTCTTCGTCCCACTCGTCTTCGATTTCAATTCTCGTTTTATCACCTGCTGTTTTCTTGTTAGATTCCCATTCCTTCTGAGGAGGTGCCCATCCCTTTCCTTTGTAAGCTGCGCGTACATGTTTCACCCCAGGGGCAGGTGCAGCAATGGCGGCAGGATTGCGGACTGGTTTGGTAGCGTCCTTCTCCACAGGCGATGTTTTGGCGGGGGAGGTGGGCTCGGCGACAACTTTTTCCGAAGGAACGGGAGTAGGCTCTGCTGCATTTTTTGCTTTGGAAGCTGTCACTGGTTTCTTCATTGGTTTCTTCACTGGCGGGKGCTCTTTTTTGGTGGTAGATTGTTGAGTTTTCTTTTCTACGGGTGTCCTTGGCTCAGTAGCAGCAGTGCTGCTTGTACAACAACTAAGAAATGCAATGGATATAAGTTAGAGCGATAGAAGAGAGAGAAAGAGTACAGAAAAACGCTCAACAGTTCGTGAGAAAGATACGAGAGTGAAACAAAATAAAACGAGTGAATGATCGATGGAGACATGCTAACGTACCCCATACTTATGTGCCGTCTATTGTCTTAGTTTGCTTCAGAGAAGAATGTAGTGCTGTAGTTTGCGATTCGTTGATAAGTGTGAAAAGACCGGTTGTTCTGAAGTATATTGTTTGCTTGCTCCATCTACGGTACCTATCCGTACCGGTAATGATTACGGTACTTCAAAGTTTTTAGTATTGTTTCTTCTTGGATTTGCTTGGTAAAAAGATCTTCAGACTACCGACATTCGACCTGTGGGGTCATAATTTTGCACTGTACTGTGACTATTATGTCTGGCGGGATTGATCGGTGGATTTCAACGGACATTAAGTATTTTCGTTTAAAATGACTGCAATTGTGGTATTACGATACCAGAAAAAGTGCCATAAGTCATACAAGTTGAGGTACGTTCGACATTCTACGGTAGTGCTGTAATCGTACTTCCATACAGATACAAAGTACGTACTGTAATCGATGATTCACCGATACTCTATTTCTGTACCTCATAACTACTACTACCATCAGGAAGAATATCTTGAAACATCAGACCAATCACGGGATCAACTAGTAAATCAAGCTATGAAATGTGTCTGTTAGTGCACTAATTCTGACAGTAGCCCTCGCACGAGACTCCTACTACTGCCACTGCCACTGCCACTGCCACTGCCACTGCCACTGCCACTGCCACTGCCACTGCCACTGCCACTGCCACTGCCACTGCCACTGCCACTGC